CAACATTGAGGAGACAGGGTGGAGGAAGAGATGGGATGAAGGTTGCTGGGAGAAGATAGAGCACATGTGCATACCCAAGGTGGGTGGGGATAAACCAAGTATCACATTCTGAGAAGCACAGGTTCCAGGAACTGCAAGGAGTTGGGTGTGGAACATGAACTGAGATATGAGGCTGGTGAGGGTAAACAGAGGCCAGTTCATGCATGGCCCAGGTGCCAGGTTAGGACAGTGGACCTTATGCTGAGAGCAGAGGGAAGCCAACGAAGGTGATCATCAGGTCACAAAGTGAAATCATCAGGTTTAAAAGAAAAACAAATCTAATAAACGTTCCTTATACAAACAACTACGCACAGTCGGTTAGAAATCGCTCTCGACAATCCCAGAGGGCCCTCAAGCACTGACCTTGGCATTCCAGCACACATAACCCTGAACTCTTACCCCAAGGATTACAGGGCAGTGTAGTGATGCTCTCAGTTCAGTGTCCCCATCTCCTAGGAATTTCCCCTGCCCTCTTTGGGGATGAGTATCCCACTCATCCAACTTGCAGACTTTTTGTAAACACTGGGTTCTTTCAAGAATATTTCATCAGTTTACCCCTCCCCGCCACCACGGGCTCCCAGAACTGCCACAACTGTGCCTGATTTAAGGAAGGAGCTGTAAGCAACAGCAGCAGCTTGAAAACAAGAGTAACCTGGGCGCAGGGCCAGGGGGTCTATTTTTAGAACGTTCGGTCCTGGCCTGTTTATGTTTCGATTCTGCCTCCCGTCTTCCCGGCGAGGGTTCAAGTTACTTGAGGAAGGTAGTCCAAGCCCCAAGAGCAGCAGCAATGCTGATGATCGCTACTCATCTCCCCAGGGGGTGGTTGACTACCCAGAGCAACTTTGTGTAGGACTAATTCAGGCCCTTCCCGGGCACTTCTCCTGGCTGTGGCATCTGGGCAGGTCACAAAGACAACAGGTTATGTATTTCGTAACCCGTTCAGTACAACCAGGGCGCTGCTGCCCTCCCGGCCTCAAGTCCCTCACCTCCAAAACAGAGATCTAACTTCACGACTGTAAACAGGCTTTGGAAACGAAAGCGCCCTCTGCAGATGAGCGCATCCAAGCCCTCGCTCTCCTTTGGGCCTGGCTGCTCGAGGGAGACAGGCGAGGATGCTTCCCTTTATCATTACATTTGCTGAAAAAGAGAAAAAGGGCCAGCGTTGTGTCTCGATTTTTATTTCCCTCCTGGGGACAAACGAGGTGGCCCCAGGAATGCACGGCCCCGTACGGCCCGCCGCGGAAAATGCGAGGTAGCGGGCGGGGACTCAACCCCCTCGGGTCCGCCGGCCCGGACCGACTTTTAAGGGCGTCCTCCCCGACTCGCTCTCCACTCGCCCCCGTTTCCTCTAGCGGCCAGATCCCATCTCCCCGGGTCATCCTCCAGTTCTGCTGCCCCCTCTGGAGTTCCTGGGGGGCCAACGGGCAGCACCCCGCGGCGGGCCCTGGGCCCACCCCCCCCTAACTCGCACGCTCCTCCTTAAGGAGCTCCTGTGGCCGGGCGNCCCCCTAACTCGCACGCTCCTCCTTAAGGAGCTCCTGCGGCCGGGCTTAGAGGCGGGTGTTTTGTTCTTATAAGGAGGAAAAGTTTCTGTGACATGCAGGAAATGAGTAACTCTGGAGCCCAGTAGAGCGCGGCTGATGGGGGCCCGCGGGCGGGAGCCGGCCGGGGTGTCTCCGCCCCCGGCCCTCTAATTGCCCAGCCGAACAGCGGCGTCCGGGCCCTGGGGACCCGCGAGCGCAGCCTGGGCCCGCGCGGAGCTCCCGGGACGGCGAGCGGGACGGAGGCTAAACGTAAGCTCGGGCCAGCAGCCGCGAGGCTCTGCGCCCTCCTCGTGGGTTGGGGGGTAGAAGGAGGCGA